TTCACTATACCTCTCCCTGCGTGGCTTGCATGAGAGGCTGAGGGCTTCCATGGGGTGCTCCAAGGCCTGGTGTGTGTGTGTGGGGGGGGGAGTGCCCCTGACTTATTTTAAGCCCCCCACCCCCCCAATTAAAAAATCCTGGCTCTAGACCTCCTTCAAAGCTTGGGTGCTGTAGGGGAGCTGATTTGCATGCCTACTCATGACCAGCATGGGACTCACAGTGGGTCTTCGGGTCAGAGGGCTTTCCAGTGTGAGATGTGGGTTCTGTTTACTGCACAACAGCGTGTTGCTGGCCAAAATGCCAGCTTTACCTCATTGCCCGTTCCTCCCTTGGTAGAATACAAATGAAATAAAACAAATGCAACCCTTTCCCTTCTGCCAAGTGAGCTTGGGGGAGGGGAGCTAACCGGGTCATCAGCCCACTCTTTTCTCTAGGCCTCCCACTGAAGGGGGACTTCAAGCATCACTGTGCCTTGGTTGGCTGCTTCTGTCTATGGCTGGAAAGGGAATATTGACACCATTTATTTTCTAGCACCGCAATTCTATTGAGCCTAGTCTTCGTCTTGGAGGGCCAGCACCATTTCTGTCGCGTTTTCAGCCACCTTGGCTGTCTCCGTTATTTCTTTTGCCATGTCTTGGATCGAATTTTGTAGTGGTTGCAGAAGCTTCAACGCTATAGTGGACATCGAATTTAAAATGTCTTGCTTTAGCTCACTTAGATCCCGTGGAGTTATGGGGTCGTCATTCTTAATTGGATTAGAATCAGCCGCCATTTTAGGTACTACTGGAGAGGCTGGAGTCAGAGGCGTGGTGGGGATTATTATTGTAGGAAAAAAGGTACGTACCGATTCCTTTTCTGTTCGAGTTTTATCTACAGCAATCCCGGAAGTTTTTCTACTGTTTTTTTTCGGCATGAAGGCGATGAGTATCGAGTTTAAGTAGAAGTAAGGGAGAAGGGGTCGGGAGCACAGAAACTAAGTGTCCACCATGCACCGCTGGCTCCGCCTACCGCTGGCAAGGGAATATCATCAGGATGTTGTTCCATGATGGGTGAGTGCTCATGAGTGTTGCTATGCTTGAAGTCTGCTGCCTTGCTCCAGCCCATCTACAAAGTAAACAATCTCATCTAGAAGCAAGGAAAACAGGTTGCTTACCTGTAACTGATGATCTTCGAGTGGTCATCTGTGCATTCACACCCATGGGTTTAGTGCGCCTGCGCTGAACCTATCGATATTGAGCTGTGGGTCCATCCCAAATGGTTCTGGGCATTAAAGCGCACTTGCCCTGTGCTATTGGAAAATGCTAGCAAGTCATAGCCAACTCATGGGGACCCCCGCGAAGAAGCCGCCGGGCAAGCCGAAGTTCGCTAAGGCTTTACAGGCGGCTCTGGACAAAGCCGAGGACGACACCAGCGGGGAAGAGTGCGCCAAGCTGGCAGGAAAAGGCCAGGTCCTGCTGTGGCACGGAACAGCAGGGCCCGATCCCGGAGGCATCAAAAGTAGTGAGCAGCTATCCTCCCTTCTTTTTTGTGACTGTGACTCTCCTAAATACGACCATGGGGACCCACATCAGAGTAAGGGGGCTTATTGACTTGGGGTGCGGGAGGGACCTTATTAATCCGTCCCAAATGGATGGATCCACAATGAAAGAACCTTGCCAATTCGAGACGGTGCCACTGCGATTGGGGGCGGGGGATCACTGGGAAGAACGCTCATTTGTGATCACCCCGACAGCACAGTTCCTGCTAATGTTGGGAAGCCCCTGGCTACACGGTCATGATCCATACATTCTTTGGGATGAGGGGAAGGTGCAATTCATCTCTCCTAGGTGCAGAATGCACTCCTGGAACCCACAGTGGGGCCCTAAACCAGAAGCAGAAGCCCCTCGGGTTTGCCTGGCACAGGAAGAGTTAGCTTCCATCCCCCCTGAATACCGGGACCTGGCTAGGGTGTTTGAGGAAGAGGAAGCAGATGAAATCCCCCCACCCAGACTGTAGCACTGAGTTATTGCCTGGACATAAGCTGCCTAAGGGACGGATTTATGCAATGGGTCTGGCTGAGAAGGATGAACTGCGTAAATTTATTGACAAGAAAGTGGCCCGGGGTTTCATCAGACCGGCTTCCACCCCATTTGCAGCTCCTGTGGTGTTCCGAAAAAAGGAGGGGGGGGGGTTGCGGTTGTGTACAGACTATCGGGGCTTGTATGCTGTTTCGTCTACAAATGCCTACCCCATGCCACTCATAAAAGACCTGTTGGCTGAGGCATCTAAAGGGAAATTCTTTTCCAAATTGGACCTCCGGGATGCGTACTTCCGAGTGTGCATAAAGGAGGGGAATGAGCACAAGACTGCCTTTAACACTCCCCTTGGCCAGTTCGAATACAGAGTGATGCCATTTGGTCTCCAGGGGGCTCCAGGAGTTTTTATGAACTTGATTAACAAGGTGTTGCACAAGCATTTGTTTAAAGGAGCCCTGGTTTATTTAGATGATATCTTGTTGTATTCCCCCGACTTACCTTCGCACGTGAAGCTAGTGAGGGAGGTGCTCTGGATGTTGCACAAGCATAAACTGTTTTCTAAACTCTCCAAGTGTGAATTTCATAAGTTATCCCGCCTCCCGCAACATGATAGCCAACAGGAGGAGATATTGGACTCTATGTTCATGCCCCCAAACCGGGGGGGGGGGGGCAGTGACGACTCACAGTCACGCAGCCCCCCCGATCAACAGTTCGGGCACACCCCCTCCCCTCCTGTTCAATTGGGCGGGGCAGCCTGGAACATCAGGTTTGCCTCCGCCTTCTCGGATGACGACAAACAGGTGGTGGAACGGGAAGGGGGGTTAGTGCTGAAAGCAGATGGCTGCCGGTACCATGGCACTAATCTGTTCATTCCAAAAATGTTGCAGGGGGAGGTCCTGGCAGTGGTTCATGGCTCTAAATTAGCCGGTCACTCAGGGCTTGTTAAATCCCTTCATCTCTTGCAAAGACAGTTTTGGTGGCCACTTATGCACAAGGACTTGTCCTTGTTTATTCAATCATGCCAGACTTGTGTCATGTGCAAAACCCGGCCAGGTAAAACTCTGGGGCTGCTGAAACCTCTCCCGACTCCCAAGTCGCCCATGGGAAGTTATCTCTATGGACTTTATTACGGACCTGCCCCCTCGTAAAACCATGACTGTCATTTGGGTGATTGTTGACCTGTTTTCTAAAGTCTCACTTTGTCCCATTTGCCTCCTTGCCCACTGCCAAGGTTCTGACAAAGGCTTTCTTGCAACACGTGTTTCGCCTTCACACACTCCCGAGCAAGATTATCTCTGACAGAGGGGCGCAATTTGTTTCCAAGTTTTGGGGGAACTTTTGAAACTCATGGGAGTGGAACGGGCCATGAGTAGTGCTTATCACCCAGAGACTGATGGGCAGACCGAACTTTTGTAGTAACATAATCAAACGTTGGAACAATATTTACGTTGCTTCACCAATTACCAACAAGCCGATTGGGTGGACTTGTTGCCTCTGGCTGAATTTTGCTACAACACTTGTCACTCCTCTACGGGGATGTCCCCTTTCAAGGCACTGTATGGCTACAACAGCCCCCCTGTGCCAATCCTCGAGAGCGACACCTTAGGCCCGGGGGATGCTGCACGTTGGTGTCAACAATTTACTGACTTCTGGCCTTTGTTGTGTAAAACATTGGAGGCAGCTAAGGAGGCTTATAAGGCTCAGCCTACAAGAAAAGGGTGGAGGGTTGGGCTCTGCAGCCTGGTGACTCTGTTTATGTCTCTATTAAGAACATTAAGGTTTTGAGACCCAGACGCAAACTGGGCTGGAAGTTCATTGGCCCATTTAAAGTCAAACACCTAATCAATAATGTTGCTGTTGATCTAGAACTCCCTAAGAATTTGCGAAATATCCATTCTGTGTTTCACTTCAGCCTCCTGAAGAGGGATCCAGGTCCAAGCCCCTAGTGTCCTACAAAACCGGTACCCCCTCCTCTCATGGTGGAGGGCGAGGAACATTTCGAATTGCCTAAAATCCTGGACTCTAAAGTTAAATGTGGCAAACTGTATTATTTGGTGGAATGGTTGGACTTTGGACTCCAACATCGAGAATGGGTGGAAGTAAGGGATATTAGAGCCCCTAAGCTCTTGCGGGAGTTTCGCCATGAGTTCCTGGGGAAACCAGGAGGTCTCCCGGGCTGACCGGGAGATTGTTCTTTGGACAGGCAGAATGTCAGCTCTGCTGCCATATTCTTTATAGCCTAAGGTTCGCCTGCCTGACCGGTGTACTAGTTGGTGCCTTGCTTTTTCCCGTGTTATCTCTGACCTTGTATTCAGGCCCGTGCAGTGTCTCCACATTAATTATCCATGAGACTAGTTTCGCTTCTCAGCCTCGGCTCTGTTGGATCGTCTGTTATTCATTCCCGCCCGCGGGAAACAGGCCAATTGGCCCACAGGTGTGTGTGTGTGGGACCATTCAAATGCCCTATATGCTTGTCCTATGCTCTCTATATGCTTGTCCTATGCTAGCTATTCCTAACAGTGAACATGTTCCTGCAACCACAGTACTGACAATAAAGTATAACCTTCTTGAAAGCGTGTGCTCAGTTGTTTGACTGTGGGTCCTGACACATTCGTAGGATCACACAAACATTCCAATGCATCAATGAACATGGGCAAGCCTAAAGCATGCTCCTGTGCCCCAACATTTGCAGGGTAACCTACAAGGGTACAGTGAAATATTACTGTATGAAGCTAAATGCCTTTCTATTTAGCACTCAGGAACAGTTCCTAATTCCAGCTCAAACCATGCACATTCTTATGTCTTAATTTTTATGGAGAAACGACGACTGAGGGGTGACATGATTGAGGTTTATAAGATTATGCATGGGAAAGAGCAGGTAGAGAAAGAGGTACTTTTCTCCCTTTCTCGCAATACAAGAACTTGTGGGCACTCCATGAAATCGCTGATCGGTCGGGTTAGAACAGATAAAAGGAAGTACTTCTTCACCCAAAGAGTGATTAACACTTGGAATTCACTGCCACAGGAAGTGGTGGCGGCTACAAGCATGGACAGCTTCAAAAGGGAATTAGATAAGCATATGGAGCAGAGGTCCTTCTGTGGCTATTAGCCACAAGGTATAGATAGGGGCTCTGGGGCAAGTGATGCTCTGTCATCTTGGTGCTTAGGGGGGTTAACAGTGGGAGGGCTCCTAGTGTCCTGGCCCCACTGGTGGACCTCCTGATGGCACTGGTATTTCTGGCCACTGTGTGATACAGAGTGTTGGACTGGATGGGCCTTTGGCCTGATCCAACATTGGCATCTCTTATGTTCTTAACTGAGAAGCAGTATATTTACTTTCAGCTTAATCTCAAAGTATACCCTTTCACCTTTCTTCCCAATGGGAAGCCAGAACTGCTTACAGCATCCACCTCTCCTTTATTTTATCCTCACAACCACCCTGTGAAGTAGGGTGACTGGGTCAGTCACATAGCAAGTCTCCAAGGCAGAGTGGAGATTTAAACTTGCATCTCCCAATTCCTAGTCCAGTGCTAATCACTATATATATATTATGTTGCCTCACAATGAATCCCAATGTTCCAACTATCCTTTTAAATAAAATAGCTTGTGTGAATATTTGGAACAGCAGGCTTGGTTAATGAGTACTCAGGTTCATTTCAGATGTTTGCTGCAAAGAATGCCAAAGTTATGAAGTTCTTCCCTTCTCAGTAGGGAAGGCCGACTTCCCTAACTCCAAACAAGGTTACAGTATGTATTATGTCCAAAAACATTTCCATCCAAGTGAGTGCATTTCAGGGTGTGTGATTTCCCCCCACCCACCCCCATTGCTGCAGGACCTCCACCGCCTCAAGCAGGATTTTAGGGAGCATTTTAATCTCCAGTGAAAGGTAAGGAAGTTGCACTATGTGGAAATTACTCATGGGATCCAATACCCAGCCTCAATCATGAGCACTTCTCATGGAAATCTAAGCTAATATTGTATCTTAGAAGTTATGATGTCCAAGAACTTTACCATCTTGGACTTCTCATCACTATGGTGTGTGCAGAAGCAAAAACCTAGTACAAGCTCTTTTTATTAATTCAGAAACACCCTTATGTATTGCACTTCCGGGTTCTGTGACCCATTAAACAGCTTGGATCCAATGATGTGTGAGGTGAAAGGAAAATGTACTTAGTGCAATTCTGGGTGCACAAGCAACACACTTCAGTATAATTTTTAATGAAATAAACTGTATGAGAATACCTAAAAGCTATCTCTTGCGTGTGCAGATGGGATACAACTACTTTCACTTTTCAGAAGTTGACAGTGTGGAGTAATCTTAATGTTTCTGCAAGGACTGTTGTGCATGTAGAAATTTTGTGTGATTCACCCCAACATTTTTAAAATGTTGCCAGTTTGGTGTAGTGGTTAACTGCCCGGACTCTAATCTGGGAGAACTGGGTTTGATTCCCCAGTCCTCCACTTGCAACTGCTGGATGACCTTGGGCAAGCCATGGTTCTGGCACAGCTATCCTTGAAAAAGAGCCATTTCAGTCAGAGCTCTCTCAGCCCCACCTACCTCACAGGGTGTCTGTTGTGGGGAGGGGAAGGGAAGGGTATAAACCCAATCTCTTCTTCTTTATAGTATCTACTTACGGTTCTGAAATGTTCATGACTTGGCTCCATCACATTCCAACGTAACAGCAGTTCACACTGGCAAGGGTTAAGCCTAGCTCCCTTCTGGGCCAGCTTCCCAAAGCCCATGGATTGGAAAGTAAACCAGGAATTGCAAAGCAACATTTCCCCAAACAAACATGCCACTTGCTCTAATTTTTTTCAGGATTTTTTGGGTGCTTTATTGCTCAAGCTTTGGACTTCAGAGTCTTTGCCTTCAGCAATGTGCAAAGGAGGAGGCATTACAAGAAGGGTAAACACTTGCCCATGGGAGGAAGAGGGTCTGCACTGACAGAGGAAACAAGACAGAACAAGGCTGGAGCAGGAGGAGGGACACAGTGGTTTTGTTTGTTCGTAAGTCTCCTGTACAATGACTTTTTCTTGCACCGATAAGCCCACTACTTTTTTTTTTTAAAAAAAAGGTCAAGGGAACAGACTGAAGCAGCAGGATTGAGATCAGACTGAGATGGAACCCGAGCTCGAGAGAGAAGGACTAGTAAGAAGGAAATGGACTCAAGGAGGGAGAGATCCTGAGAGAACTCCCACAGAGTCAGAATGCAAAAACGAATAAATAAAAGTCCCTAAGATGACACCAGGTCTGTTCTGCCAACAATATTTCCTACACAGACAGACACAAAGTGATGCCACTGTCTCTGCCCCTTGTCCAAGCAGATAGAAAAATAAAGGTCTAGTGTACTGGAAACTCTTTAGTTTTACAAAACTAATGGAAGAGGATCTTGGCCTCAAGCTTCTACATCGACATCTGTTTTGTCATCAACTCCATTCTGTTTGTCATCTTTCATGTTGGGGTCTTCCTTGCAGACTGCGTCAGCTTCCAGCTACAGGGGGGAAAAATAAAAGCCCATGGTGAGAAGGACTGGCTTTCCTACCTCCCATCATGCTGTCTGTGTGTCTGGAGGCAAGTTTCAAAGCTTAAGATTCAGGGAATGCAGGTCAAATAGAGCAGACAGCAACAAGACACCCAACGAAAGGTGCAAGGCCTGGCAGCAATGATACGGCTTAAAAGTCGAGCAGGCAATGACAAGCCACCTCTGAATTTCTCTTGCCTTGAATACCCTGCAGGGTCACCGTCAGTTGGCTGCGACTTGATGGTACAATAATAATGATGAAAAATTGCTGTGAGTTCATTTTCCATCAGTCTGAATGAAGGCATGTGAGAATTCTGCCCAGCGGTCAAAACGCAAGCCTGATTCTGGTGAGCCCTTGGGCGTCTTACCTTGGTTTCTTTATCTGCAAGTCTCTGAAACATGTTGGCATACATCTTCTTTTCTCTCTCATGCTGCTCACGTATTTTTTGCTGGCAGATCACTAGCTGTGCTTTCGCTGCCTTGTTGCTTGGGTAGAGCTGCAGCACCTTCTGGAAATCTGCTCTGGCTAACTCAAAGTCATTGACAGCCAGCTGGGCTTCACCACGCCGGAAGAGGCCTTTCTCATTGCTGCCATCCAGCTCCAGGGCCTGGGAGTCAGGGGAGACAAGGTGCAAACCAATGAGAGAACCTGAGGAAGTGGCGAGCACAGGCAGGCCGGGCTTCCCGGGGGCTTCTGAAAAATGCTGGGCTTTGAGAGGCAAAAGGGGAAGGTTAGTGATCAGGCAGGGGGCCTCTGTCCTCAGAATGGGGAGCACACTTCCAGACAGAGGTCACCTAAAACAGGGATGGGGCAGCCTGAGGATGAGCACAGCAGCACCAGCCATTGTCACAGATGTCAAGACTGACCCTGCCTTAGTGGGGTAATGTAAGCAAACTTAACCTGGGTTTAGTTCAGGACACTCCCCGTAGCATACATCATGAAGCAAAAAAAGACTTCATGGAAGAAATTAAAGATTTTAAAACATTACATACAATTCAGTGGCAAAGGCATAAAAAATAACAAAGCCAAACTAGCTAACTGCTTACACAACTCTTACAGCAGAGAGGTTGGTTCTTACTGCTAAAGCACGGTATTTCAGAACATACAAGAAGTCTCTTAAACGCAGCACATGGGTGGGGTAATTAGAGGAAAGTACGAAATGCAAAGTGGTGTCTTCTCCCATAATAAGCTATACTTTACAGAAAAAGCAGGCCATAACCTCCAACCAATCACCGGCCTGTCTCCATGGTATATTTTGGACAGGAGTAAACTCCTCCCTCCCTTGACAGATTCACGGCTAAAGTGAATGAACAAATTAACAGGCTTGGGAGATTGTTTTAGCGAATAACAATCAATCTAAAACAGAGTCTGAGTACAGCAAAATAAACGTTTAACTGGAATATTCCTCTAAGGTGGCCTCTCTCTTAGAAACAAACAAGAAAGGGTAATAGGAAAACAGGAATGAGGAGTATGCTTCCCTGGAGAAGAGAAGAGAAAGTTGTGACATAGGAAACTGCCTTGCAGAATCAGATCAGATGGATGTTTTCAGGATGCTTAGAGCCATACAAACAACAATCTTCCCAACAATCTTCCCAAGAATATGGCATCCAGAATTACAGTGCCACTGGCTCCTGAAGTTAAATCTGACCTATCACTGCTGTTAGTGGGTTACAGCCTCTCCTTGTTGCTGTTGTTGTTGTTCAGTCGTACAGTTGAGTCAGACTCTTCGTGACCCCATGGACCACATCACGCCAGGCCCTCTTGTCTTCCACCATCCTCTGGAGTCTGCTCAATTTCATGTTCGTTGCATTGATAACACTGTCTAACCATCTCATCCTTTGCCGTCCCCTTCTTCTTTTACCTTCAGTCTTTCCCAGCATCAGGGTCTTCTCCAGTGAGTGCTCCCTTCTCATT